CTTCTCTTCTTCACTCAAAACCCTCACTCTCACTCTTTTAAAATGGGACAAACTGTTCTAAAAATCAGTCCAACACTTTAATATAACCAAAAGAATTGATTAGGGAAAAGACCAAAATGCCCTTAAAATTCGGACTAAACTGCCCTGTGCGGCTGTGCCAACAGCCCAACTTCCAAAGGGCATAACTCACTCATACGAACTCGGAATCGAGTAAACTTGGCGGCGTTGGAAAGATCATTCCAAAATATTTCCAGACATAACTAGAAATTTTCTAAACTCATCCTGAGCTATGAGTTATGACTGTTTTAAGTTGACAAAAAAACTCATTTTTTTCCCATACTTAACTAAATTTCCAGATTCTGACTTCTTAAAAAAAAAGACTAATTCCAATTATAAACTTCTTCATAGTTATTTCAAATTGCAAGACATCACATCATGAATTTCCAGAACATTTTGTATGGTCAACAACACATAAAATGTGGACACGTCGTAAACGAGGTCATGTTATTGGACGTGTAGTGACATGTTATCCAACCGAAGGAGAAAGATACTATCTTAGACTTCTTTTATGAACGTAAGAGGGCCAAAATCATATGAAGATCTGCGAACTGTAAATGGAATACAATATAATTCATTTAGAGAAGCTGCAGAAAAATGAGAACTATTACTTTGTGATAATAATTTGGTAGAATGCATGTCTGAAGCTGCAAGTTATCAAATGCCATCCAGTTTAAGACAATTATTTGCTATGTTATTGATTTATTGTAATCCAACAAATCCTAGAGAATTATGGGAAAGATTTGAAAGCCCAATGTCAGAAGATTTAAAAAAAAGTTCAAACATAAATGTAAGAGAAATACGTTATAAAGTATTAAATTGCATTAATGATGTTCTTCATTCAATGGGTCGTGACATTAATGAATTTGAACTAATTTCAGAATATATCAAACCTTCATCAATAGCAAGAGAAGCTAAAGAAGTTCATTATGAAAGAAATATCATTGTTACTGAGGAAGATTTATTATTAAAAAATAAATTAAACA